CTTAGTGAATCTGGGTTGGGGGTCTAGTTGTGGTAATATTGTTGGCTTGTGTGTCCTTGGTGAAAGTTGAGAAACCTGCGCAGTTAGGTGTCAAGCCTTTTGGTTAGTACCGGTAAAAATGGCATTGGTAGTGTTTGTATAGTCTATTGGTAGACACGTACCTAGAGATTTTCGGTGTTGTATCCTCTGCCTTGTTTTCTATTGTAAAGAAAGTGATTTCATGAATTGTGATATAATTTGGCATTGCATGGTTTTTGGAAAGAGATATAAAATGTTTTGATACAAGCATTGTATATGCATTCACTTTATAACTTTGTTAAGATTTATACACTGTGTTAGAGTATCTACTGGGTTTTGGCTCACCCTATGTAAAAAATCATTTTCAGGTGCTAATGATATGTCTCCACCAAAGCTGTAGCTTGGGAGGACTTGGAACCAAGAGCTTCTTTTTGCTATTGTTGCAATTATTCTGTACAAGTTTAAGGCTTTATTTGTATTGAGTTTCAAACTCACTTTTGTTGTAACCAAGTATTGTCTTGAAAGCCTGTAGCCATTAGGGCATTTATATATCTATTTAACTTTTATTTCATACCAAGTAACTCGTGGCACATGCTATAGATTCAGGCTTAGGACTTGTGAATGTATAACTACATATGTAACCTTTTGTACAATGAGATCATATGAATGAAAGATAATAATTTGACACATGTTGTCATTTAATTAATAGTGTGAGATGGCTTTATTATCATTTCTTTCGGGGTGTTACAGAAGGAATATACAATAAAGCTCAAGACACATGTATAACTGCATATGTAACCTTTTGTACAATGGGATCATATAAATGAAAGATAATACTTTGACACATGTTGTCATTTAATTAATAATGTGAGATGGTTTTATTATCATTTCTTTCTGGGTGTTACAAAAGGAATATACAATAAAGCTCAAGACACATGTCCAAAAGATACATAAGGAATGACCCGAGAGGCCCACTACCTCTCAAAAATAAGACAACTTAAAATTGAGATTAAGTTTCATCTTATTTAGTTTCTTCCTTAAATCAAGAGTAACTTAATAAAAGTTTCCATTTGAGATTCTTTTTGTGTATAAATGCACCAGCTTATGAACTTGTCATTTTGATGCTGATGGGTGTTTATTTATACATATATTTATAATATGAGCTCTTTTATTTGGTTTTGTTGTATATTTTTTGTGGGCGCAATTTTCTATCGCAAGTGTTAAAATTTGTTGTTCTTTAATTTTGGTTAGCAAAAATGAATTGAGTTGGTTAATCTAACTAGAGTTATTCAAAGTTTTTATTTTGCCTTTTTAATCATTTTAATCTTTCTCACTATCCTACTTTTGTTCCTATTATTTGGTCCTTAGTACTTGCACAGAATTTCACTATGATTAAAGACATCAATTTAGATAAATTACATGTGAGTGAAACTTATCCTCAAGATCATAATATAATTTTTTTCCCCAATAATCTATTTCACTTTCAACACAAACCATATAAGTACCAGTGGTGATGGTGGTTCTATGTGTCTTTCATTTGAGCATATAGTCCAGCACATGGTGGGCAAAAAGAAGTTAGAAATTAATAACATGTTGAAGTACAGAACTTTAAATTCAAGTAAGAAAAAAATCATCAGCCATATTCCATAACCTCTTTGCAATTCAACAGTTAAATCCCATCCATGAATCAATTGCCACATGAAACCACAAAAATCAATTGCCAATAGTCATGATTTAAATTGAATCAAGAGTGTGGGTGTGGGTTGTTAGAGTTATCAACATCAGCATTTAACTGTGAGGATGTGTTGAACAAGTCAAGTTTGTTTTTTTTAGATATGCCTCTATTCAGTTTTTTAGTAAGTTATGAATTGTCCTAGTCTTAGAGAGGTTGTTGCAGCATATTGCTGCACATGTTATCTTTCTGTTCCTATTTTTTAGTAAGTTTCTGTTGATGGTTTTGCCTATAAAAGGCTTGTGTCAGGTGAAGTATTATTATCATCATCACATCAATAAAAGTATTTCTTTCCTCATCTTTTTGCCTCATTTATGAACTCCGTTCTACATTTGGTATCAGAGCCAAGTTGAAGAGGGAGTGTTGAGAGTATGTGAGAGTAAAACACGTGAGGAAAAGAGAGAGTAAGATGGGTGATCTTCAAGTCATTGGCGGAATCAAAAAGCTCAACAACCAAAATTACAATACTTGGTCAACATGAATGATGTCGTACATGCAAGGCCAAGACTTGTAGGAGGTTGTGAACGGAAGCGAAACGAATCAACCGGAGGCTGAGGATGCGAATGGTACACTGCAGAAATGGAAGATCAAGGCGGGCAAAGTGATGTTTGCTTTGAAAACGACGGTCAAAGAAGATGTGCTAGAGCACGTTCGAGATGCCAAAATCCCTCACGAAGCTTGGAGTACGTTTGCCGAGCTGTTCTCAAAGAAGAATGACACGAGGCTCCAACTTCTAGAGAGCGAGTTGTTGTCAGTAGCACAACGTGACTTGACGATCGCTCAGTACTTTCACAAGGTGAAGTTGTTATGTCGGGAAATTTTCGAGTTGGATCCAGAAGCTCAAATCGGTGAAACCAGGGTGACAAGAATAATCATTCATGGTTTAAGACTAGAATTCAGAGGCTTTGTTGCTGCAGTACAGGGATGGCAAAACCAACCATCACTTGTTGAGTTTGAGAACTTGCTTGCTGGTCAGGAAGCTTTGGCTAAACAAATGGAAGGGGTTTTCACTCAAGGGTAAAAAGGAAGCGCTTTATGTTTATAAAGGCATGTGGAATTCCAAGCAGTACACTGTCGGCAAAACTAAAAAGAATGAGGACAAGGCAAAAAGTAATCAAGGTGAAAAGAGCACCCGTGTTGAGAGAGATTCGAAGAATCCCGGCACCAAGAAACAATTTGAAGAGAAGTGTTATAATTACGGGAAGAAGGGTCACATGGAAAAAGATTGTTGGTCGAAAAAAAGGGCTTGTGGAAAGTAATGCTGCTACTTCCAAAAGCGAAGATGAGTGGGACGCTCAGGCATCTTTTGCTGTAATAGAAGAATCAGCTTTTACAGCAACAACGTCTGAACAGATTGATTATGAGAAAGATTGGATCATTGACTCAGGCTGCTCAAATCATATGACGGGTGATAAAGAAAAGTTGCAGGATTTGTCGGAGTACAAGGGAAGACATGTGGTGGTCACAGCGAACAACTTAAAGCTACCAATAGCTCACATTGGTAATACGGTAATCTCTCCCCAATATAATACTAATGATGTGTCACTTTAAAATGTCTATCACATCCCAGGTATGAAGAAAAATCTTCTCTTGGTAGCACAATTAACATCTTCAGGTCATCTTGTTCTGTTTGGCCCTCAAGATGTGAAAGTTTATCGTGACCTTGAGATTATGGAAGAGCTGGTGATAAAAGGACAGAGACTAGAGTCAGTCTATGTAATGTCTGCAGTAACTACATATGTAGACAAGACCATAAAGAATGAGACAGCAGATCTACGGCATATATGATTAAGTCACGTTAGTTACTCCAAACTAACTGTGATGATGAAAAAGTTAATGCTGAAGGGACTTCCACAACTTGAAGAAAAAAAGATACAATTTGCGTAGGATGTCAGTACAACAAAGCGCATCAGTTGCCATATGAAGAGTTAAAACAGAAAGCAAAGGGGCCGTTAGAGCTAACTCATTCTAATGTGTTTGGACTTGTTAAGCAAGCCTCGCTCAGTGGGATGAAGTACATGGTGACCTTTATTGATGATTTTTCCAGGTACGTGTGGGTATATTTTATGAAAGAAAAATCTGAAACTTTCTCAAAGTTTAAAGAATTCAAGGAAATGACGGAAGTAGAGGTTGATAAAAGAATCCATTGCCTGCGTACTGACAATAGGGGAGAGTATACCTCGGATGAGTTTCTTTACTTTCTCCGAGAATGTCGAGTACGCCATCAGTTCACATGTGCCAACATTCCACAGCAAAACGACGTAGCAAAAAGAAAGAACAAGCACCTAGTAGAAATCTGTCGAAGTATGCTTCATGCAAAGAATGTCCCAGGACGGTTTTGGGCAGAAGCAATGAAGGCTGCAACTTTTGTAATCAATAGGCTTCCTCAACAAAGGTTAAGTTTTTCATCACCCTTTGAAAAATTATAGAACATAAAGCCTACAGTTAGCTATTTTAGAGTCTTTGGCTGTGTTTGCTATGTCTTTGTACCTAGTTATTTACGCAGCAAGATGGACAAGAAGGCTGTTAGATGTATTTTTGTAGGATACGATAGTCAATGAAAAGAGTGGAGATGCTGCGATCCTACAACTGGAAAGTCTTACACATCTCGGAATGTGGTGTTTGATGAATCATCTTCATGGTGGTCCTCAGAAAAGAAGATATTACCATATTCAGATGTTTTTAAGGATGAGTTGCAATATGCTCAAATCCAATTAAGCTTAGTGAAACTGAAAATACAGCTGATGATGATATCGGAGATGTTGAAACTCAAAGTCCTTGGCAAACTGGTGTGCATGGACAACCAAGCGAAGAAGGTGAGCCTAGTGAAGTTGAAGCACCAATTCCACTTAGAAGATCAGCAAGAACCAAGAAACCAAATCCCAAATATGCCAATGTTTCCATAGTAGAAAATGCAAACACAAAAGAACTAGAGACATTTGAAGAAGCATTTCAGAATCCAGACTGGAATAAAGCTATGGAAGAGGAAATTGCAGCATTAAAATGAAATCAAACTTGGGAGCTCATGCCAAAGCCAAGAGATGTAGAACTTATTTCATGCAAATGGGTTTATAAGATAAAGCGTCGCACAGATGGATCAATTGAAAGGCACAAGGCTCGTTTGGTAGCTCAAGGATTCTCTCAACAATATGGACTAGACTATGATGAAATGTTTAGTCCAGTTGCAAAGCTTACAACTGTACGAGTCTTACTTGCACTTGCAGCTAACAAAGATTGGAACTTGTGGTAGATGGATGTGAAGAATGCATTCTTACATGAAGAGTTGGATCGGGAGATCTATATGAATCAACCGATGGGCTTTCAGAGTCAAGGTTATCCTAAATATGTGTGTAAGTTGCGGAAGGCACTCAACAGATTGAAACAAGCACCCAGGGCATGGTATGGTAAGATTGTTGAATTTCTAACTCAAAGTGTGTATTCAAGAGCACCTGCAGATTCCAGCTTGTTTGTTAAAGCTAATGGAGGAAAGTTAGCTATTGTACTTGTATACATAGATGATCTAATCATCACTGGAGATGATGTTGAGGAAATTTGCCGAACGAAGGAGAACTTGTCAGTTTGTTTCCAAATGAAAGAACTTGGACAACTTAAGCACTTTCTTGGGCTAGAGGTGGATCGTACACAAGAATGGATATTTCTCTGTCAACAGAAATATGCCAAAGATTTGTTGAAAAAGTTCGGGATGCTCGAATGTAAACCGATCTCAACACCGATGGAACAAAATGCTAAGATGTGTGCACACGAAGGCAAAGACCTGAATGATGCAACAATGTATCAGCAATTGGTGGGTAGTTTTCTTTACTTAACTTCAACTAGACTCAATATCTCTTATGCAGTTGGTGTGATGAGTCGATACATGCAAAAACCAAAGAAGCCTCATTTGGATGCAGTTCGACGAATTTTGAGATATGTGAAGGATACAATTGATTTTGGTCTAATGTACAAGAAAGGTGAAGATTGCAAGCTAGTTGGCTATTGTGATGCTAATTATGCAAGAGATCACGACACCCATAGATCAACTACCGGGTATGTGTTTATGCTTGGATCAGGAGCAATTTCATGGTGTAGCAAGAGACAACCGACAGTATCTCTGTCAACAACGGAGGTAGAGTACCGAGCAGCAGCAATGGCAGCTCAAAAGAGTACTTGGCTAATACGGCTGATGAACGATCTACATCAACTAGTGGACTATGACATTCCATTGTACTGTGACAACCAGTCGGCAGTTCGTTGGCGGAGAATCCAGTCTTTCATGCAAGGACAAAACATGTGGAAGTGCATTATCATTTTATTAGGGAAAAGGTTCTGGAAGAAGAGATTGAGATGAGGCGAATTAAATCAGAAGACCAAGTCACAGACTTATTCACAAAAGGTCTGAATGGCAACAAGTTTGAAAGCTTTTGTCATCAGCTCGGTATGATAAAGAGTTTGGAAGCTGATATTGAGGGAGAGTGTTAGATTTATCAACATCAGCATGTGACTGTGAGGATGTGTTGAACAAGTCAAGTTTGCTTTTTTTTAGATATGCCTTTGTTCAGTTTTTCAATAAGCTAGGAATTGTCCTAGTCTTAGGGAGGTTGTTGCAACATGTTACTGCACATGTTATCTTGTTGTTCCTATTTTTTAGTAAGTTTCTGTTGATGGTTTTGCCTATAAAAGGCTTGTGTCAAGTGAAGTATTATTATCATCATCACATCAATAAAAGTATTTCTTTCCTCCTCTGTTTGCCTCATTTATAAACTCTGTTCTGCATGGGTGTGGGTGTGGGTGTGGGTGTATAACGATCCCGGTTACCCCTTTACTGTTCTGTTGTATTCCGGACTCGGTTCCGTGAAGTTGGTAGTGGTATCCATCTTGTTGCCGTCCTTTAATTCCACTTGATTGAGTTTTAGGATGTTTTGAGCAGGGTTGTTACAGGTTGGTTAGGCCTTGGTTTCAATTCCTTGTTGTCCAGTTTTTAGGAGATCCGCTCGAGCGGGTCTTCTTGCGCTCGAGCGGGGATTGCGCACCTCCAGTATTTCGTGTTCCTACAAAACTTCTGCAGATGTGGTTTTTACGCTCGAGCGGGTTTGTTTATGCTCGAGTGGTAGCGCTCGAGCGGGTCTGTTGGCGCTCGAGCGGGTAATACTTTCGGGGTATAAGTTCTGGGAGGGGGAAATCTACGCTCGAGCGGACTGGTTTTCGCACTCGAGCGGATGTGCTTTATTCTTGTGTCTTGGCGCTCGAGCGGGGCTTTTTGCGCTCGAGCGGACCTAGTTTTTGTTCTTGACGCTCGAGCGTTGTGTTTTCCGCTCGAGCGGGAATGTCGTATATCAGTTGGCTGTGGGACAGTTTTAAATCACTTTTTCCACTTCTCTTCTCTCTCTTACTTTTCCAAAAACACCATTGTTGAGCTTCTCACTCTAGAGCTCTACCTTCTCTCTAGGTATTGATCTAGTAAGAGTGATTTCCTCACCTTTGGCCTTTACAAAAAAAATTGTTGATCGTCGAGGGCTATCTTTTGATCCGAAAAGTTCGTGGTTTGGAGCATTTTCGTTTTCTTCACCTTCTCGGTTGGGAGTCATCTTTTGAGATAGGGATAACCTACTCCTCACTATGGATTTTGTCTTTAAATTTTAGTAGTTTGAGATGTTGGGTTGGGGTTGGTAATTTTGTGAAAATTTGGGGCTTTTGTGTAAATTTACAAAAGTTGGAGTTTTAGCTATATAAAACCTAGATGCATGTTTGGCATGGAGAAGTGAAATTAATGTTAAAACATTAATGAGAATGGAACCTAAGGATTGTAATGTTAATTATGGAAAGTGCCCTAATTACATTAGTTAATTAATTCGCATAATTAATTATGAGGAAATGAGAAATTGATTTGGAAATGTATGGAATTAAAGGGTGTAGTTGGATTATTTATCACTCACCGGGTTTGTGCATTTATTTCCTGCTTAGAAATAGTTGCTTTGGGCTACCGGTGGAGGGTAGTGTTGATTGTTTTAGACAATGCTTGATGATTAGGCAAACTAAAACTAATCAATTGGATGTGTCATAGAGCATGTCGGTTGATAGAATACATTAATTTTATGTATTGATTGATTGCATATGTGATTCTGTGTTTATATGCATTACTTGTGTATGGGAGGAGATGGGGGATGTACTCCACGGTTTAGGGGAAGATAGGGGATGGACCTCTAAACCGGATGTTGTTGGGAGAAGATAGGGGATGGACTCCATAGATAGAGCTCATATGCTTATCTAGTAATGTGTTGACATAGCTCATATGCTTGTCTTTGGAAGTGTGATAGTGCTCTTATGTATGTCTATGGAAGTGATGATATAGCTTGTATGCTTATCTGTTGGTGTGTGATATAGCTAATATGCTTATCTATTATGAAATGAGAAAGTGCTTAATATGAGTTACCGTCTCATATAAGTTGTTTGGCCAGGTTCTGAGCCATGGTTATAAATTGAGAATTGAAAAGAATTGGAATATGGATTGTAACATGGACTTGTATGTCATGAAACCGTAGAATGTGATAAGGGAAAGTATCAGTGTTGGCCATCTATCAATTGCTAATCTTTTAGTCATTGTTCATATTTGGTTTAGTGTATTTCTACTGGGCTGTGGCTCACCCTATATGGGAATATCATTTTCAGGTACAGGTAGCATGCCACCTCCAAGGACGTAGCTTGGGAGGCTAGAGGCGGGCATATTTTTTTTGTGTAGTTTCTTTGATGTATTACATGTATATTCAAGCCAAGGGCTTAATGTGTAAATGAGTTAGCACTCTTTTGTTGCAACCAAGTGTTAACTTGGAAAGCTGTAAGTCTTTAGGGCATTTGCTTTTGTCGTTAACATGTAATACTTTTGGTAATGGAACTCTGATGAATAGAAGAATGTGGAGCATTTATATATCAATGCATGTTTATATTGATGGTTTAATGTTATTATTTTGAGGGCGTTACAGGGTATGTGTGCTGGAAAAAATGGGTTTTTTGGTAACTTTAATGTGAAATTAAAGTAGGTCCCAAACATTGGTTGAGGTGGGATTAAATGAGTTTAGATTCTTTGTAAAAATGGTTGAGGTGGGATTAAATGGGTTTAGATTCTTTGTAAGAAGGTCTTTACACCACAAAAAGAATGACCAAAAACCATTAAGAATTGAATGAGAAATTGTCTCATAAAGATGACCTCATGAATGAAGTATTGAGAATTGTGTATAACTACCAATCCCACATTGATTGTAAAGGAAAGTTTTGATGGGTATTTAAACCTCAAGATTTTGATAAAGGCATGAGCTCTTTGAAGTATCCAAATTTTCCAAAGGAAGGGAGTTATGGATACTTCAAGGATGGACTTAGGCCAAGACTATGGTCCAAGTTGGTTTTGGAAAAATTGCCCCCCGCGCGCGCGCCGCATAGATAGGGCTAGATCCAGGTCCGTGATCCGTGGGTCGTGGATCTTGGATCTTGGGCTTGAGGCTTGCTGGAATGGGCTGGGCTAGATTGTTGGTCCACTAACCTAATTTTTTTGGGGCAAGTCTACTGCAGATATACACACTTGTGTATACAGAATATATATCTCAAATATTATTGTCCCATCAGTTTTGGTCCATTACTCCAGCAGTTTTGTAGGAGTAATGGGCATTGGTTGCTAGCCTTCATGGCTGGAGGCTCCTCCTTTCTTCCCCATGGTATATAAAATGAGACCCATCTCCCTTGGCTTTGGTACATATTTTTTCCTTCTAGAATTATACAGTCAATTTTCCTCCCATAATTTTCTTCTTGTGTTGAGAGAGTGCTGCCATTGTCATTTCGCTGAGAGACGGAAGTTGACGTTCCTCCAGCACCCAGGATGAGGCGGCTAATCTATTTTTAGGACACTGTGATATCACATAGGCTTTGGTTTGGTTTCTTTACCATTTGTCGTATTGTGTATCTCTGTGTAATATCATTGTAAATTCCAGCATATGTTCTAAGTCTATAATTTAATTTGATAAATCATGAATCTATTTGTCTTGTTTAATCAGAGTAAATATATGTGTTTCCCTATAATTGTACACTCTGTTGATTTTTTCATCCAAAGAAAACTGGTCCAATGTTTTGCTTCAATTGCATGTGTATTTATTTTAGTGGGAGGATTACTGTTACTCGCTGTTCATAGGAAAATTTTTGTTCTGTCTTATATATATAATTGTTTTTTTTTTTGTACCTACAAATGCATAATAGGCTACTATTGGAGTATTTTTAAAATAGTTTATAATTTTATAGCATGCAACTGTTTGTCTTAATTAATTGGAAACAAAACAAAACTATGCATGATCTAAGTTTAGCATTTTAAAAGTGTTTTACAACTCTCTCTCCTCTAAACGAGAGCATCTCTCTCTAGACTCTTTCTTTAGGGCTTTTCATAGTCAGCGCAGTTTGGGAGCGGGAGGGGGCTCCGGCCTCTGGCCACCCTTCTCCTCTCTCCCCTATTTTTTTCTTTCCTCCTTTACTGCTTAATAAACCTTGGGAGTCCTCTATTCCCAACCTCCCCCTCTTTGTGAGGCGTTTCTTCCCCTTGGTGGAAGCTTTGCTGGGTTGCTCCTCCTCCCACCGGTGTCAGATCTGCCTTGGTCTTCTGCTCCGTTGTTCACCGTCGCTGTCTTCCCCTACCCTCAACCAGATCTGCCTTGGATCTGTTTGCCTCCATTGTTCACAAATCAGATCTGGTTGCCTCCGAGTATGAGGTTTGTTTTCCAGTTTTTTGTTTTCTTGTTTGGGTGTGTTTGTATAGAATCCATCAGAGCTTTTAGGTGGCTTACTCACTCTGTGGTTACAATCTATGACCTATCTTAGACACGCTCCACAGTTGATTTTATTTGACCTCTGTTTTGCAGTACGAGCGCGAGCACTTGTTGTGCGTTTGAGATTCTCATAGTTTCTCTACCCGTGTGCTTGTTTGATATGATTTTTCTTAGCTTAGTGTAAGCCTTTTCTTGGATGGATTCATGTGTAAATGCTGTTTGGCTTCAGTAATGAAATTTCTTCCTGATCAAAAAAAAAAAAAAAAAAAAAAAAAAAGTTTAGCATTTGAATTCTGAGTTTTAAATTTCAAAAGCATGTTTTGATCTCTAGTTTAATTTGACATGCTAGTGTGGTTGTATTCACTATGTAATTTCTTGTATAATCTAATTTGCATGCTCTTGAACCTCTAGTTGTTTTAGTTAAAATGGACATGCTAATTTGTTACTACTTTTCTAATATAATATACATGTTCATTATTTTCTACAATTTTAAAATAATTTCCATGTTCTTTATTTTTTAGATTTTGGTGCAGGTTACATGTTTAATTGC